TGTTTCAATGCCCTCACAACTTTGTTTCCTGTTTTTGAAATCTAACAATGCTGTGTTTCAGTGAATTGGAAAAGTCTTTTTGCCTCCAACCCAAATTCTGGCATGAATCTCTACTTCTGTGGGGAAACTGTGTCCCTGAAGGCCACCTTCTTATCTGCTTATGTAGCTGCACGCTATTGCACTGTTATAGTTGTATATTAGTTTATCCGTCTTGGGTTTTTTGTTTTTTTTTCAGTGACGCTTCTTCAAAATCAGGCTGGATATTAGGCATTGATTACAAGAAAGTTTAGCCATCAGCCATCCCCCCCTCCAACATATACATCCATCCATCCATTATCTATACATCGCTTAATCCTCACGAGGGTCGTGGGGGGCTGGAGCCTATCCCAGCCGACTTCGGGCGAAGGCAGGGGACACCCTGGACAGGTCACCAGTCCATCACAGGGTCACACAGACAACCAAGCACACTCACATTCACACCTACGGACAATTTAGAATCACCAATTACCCTCAACATGTTTTTGGACTGTGTGGGAGGAAGCTGGAGAACCCGGAGAGAACCCACGCTGCACGGGGAGAACATGGAGCAGAAAGATTCCAGTGCCCCCACTGGGACGCGAACCGGCGACCTTCTTGCTGTGAGGCAACAGTGCTCAACATATACATTCTTGTAATATCTACAAAACATACACTTATTGCAGAAGTGATTCAAGATAAACACTGAAACGTGTCATTTCCAGCCAGGAATTTAAATAAAGTCAAGCGCATTTGTTGGAGTTTGCAGCTCAAAGTCATTAGTTTGTCTCCAGATTGTTTTACAGTTTTGTGGGAAAGCTTCTATTCTCAAACCATTAAAGCTCAGAATGAACCTTTTTTGGGGTAATTTTCGCCCACCATAGCACATGGAAATAAACTATGATGGCTGGCATTATCAAGTTACTGATCGCAGCAGGAGGTCGATGGATTTCCAAAATTGCATTAACTTGGGTTTTCTCATGTTTACAGTGTTGAGTGAAATCATTCCTGTGGAACCAAAGGGTTGCATGTGTGGAAATAAGGAAAACTAAATGGAATAAACCAACCTGGACTCTATTATTTACTCCTCACTCCCCCGTAATCCTGACCTAGAAAGATAGAGGGGCTAGGTGCTATGACTTTCAGCTTCTTTTTTGATGTCGAACAAGGACAAGTGTTACGCGTCTGACGCTCAGCAGATGTAATATCTGGAGCACCATGAAAGAGCTCTCCGTCTTCGGGCCACTGTTTGCAGATGAAATATTTATTTCCTTGCCAATTATATCTCCGTTCTGGATCGCTCCCTTTTTGGGTAAACTTTTCGTCTTGGCCTTCGAGTAATGCCGGATTTACTGCCCCATTTCAACTGTGTGTGTTCTCTTGCGAGTTGCATTCGTACTTTGTTGTTGATTCTCACAACACAGTCAGTCATAGGGGCGTCGACGCTTTCTTTTCTCTTCTTTTTTTCCCCATACTTCTGCTTGCTCGTCAAGTTTGCCGCAATGTATTAGTGGGAAAAAAGCCAGGAATCCCCCCCCGCCCCCCTGGGATGTGAGTGCTGGTGCAATACTAGACACAAAGACCATTTGTGTCATTCCCAAAGAGGGTGTGTCTGTGGAATGACACCACACGCGCAATGAGAGCGGAGTTACGTGGAAGGTGTTCAGGTGAGAATCAGCGGGAAACCGTGACGTCAGAGCGAGCGTGGCGGTGAATCAGACATATGCTCAGTGTTACGTTTCGACGCTTTCTGTTTGTCTTCTCTGACTGCGTGTCGTTCACACCTATGGTACACACATCCATCTGCACGTATCGCACAGAACAGCTGGAGAACGGACTGACCTGTGCGTGGAGTTACAGAAGTCACTTGTGAGTCTTTCACACCTGCTGTAAAGAAGGCAGATGGGTTATATGATGTGATAAGAGAGTGTGGAATGGGGAGTTGTTTGCGAGGCTGTGGGTATGAGAGACATGCCTATAAACCAGCACTATATTTAGAAAGACAGAGTGAGAGTTGTCGAGGACACAGATTGGGGTGATATGTGAAATATTAGACAAATGGAGACGAGTCATTGGAATGACCCACACATTACCTCTCCTATGTGTGTTTGCCTCAGGACTAGTTAGAGAAGAAGACGAGGACAATACAATTGCCCTTTCCTCCATTTGTCAGGCAGACAGCCAAACTATCCCATTCCACAACCAAAGCTAACACTCACTTAGCTGCTGCTGCTCAGAGAGATCACAGAGAGATAGCGCTGCGTTGAGCCATTTAACAGTGGAAAATATGTCCGGCATGTCCTGTATATCATTGTGGCTGTTGAGGCATTCAGATGCACAAAGATAGCGTCTTGTTTCTGACTGCTGTAGATACTCTAGAAAACTGCTGTGTTTTTTTAAATTATTATTATTTCATATATTATTTCACGGCTTTATTTTGGTCCTTACTACACCATGCATGTAATCCACACACAGTGCATTAAATGGATGTTATTGACACATCGATTACACCAGATGGATGTGATGGGGAGGAGGCTGGGAGCGATGGAGCCCATCCATAATACATGGTTGGTAGCTCGGGGTGCAAGGCTGAGACTTGGACTGTGTCAGCGATATCGCCCTGGGGGAGGAAGACTCAGCATAATGACTTCTTCCTCCTCACACTGTTCTCTGTTTACACAACCAAAAACTAAAATTGCACACCATTTAACCTTCCAAACCCCAAGCAATTTCTGGGCATTTCTTTTGCTCCTGTCACATTTGTACTCACTGTGGGATCGTTTTTCACTGCAATGTAAAGTCCTGCCGCTCCGGGGAAACCACACAACCGGTCGAGAGAACTCAGAAATGTCTTTGGTGCAGGATAGCACAGGATATAACGAATTTACTGGATTATTTATTTTTAAAGAATTGAAAGAGCCTCGCATCAACATGTATATTATTTTTCTAGTTGTCCCCAGGTGTTACCAATACTGGAACATAAATGGTGACACATATTGTAGATATTTCATTTGTTTCCATACATCTCCTATCTGCTCTGTGTAAATACAGCCTGCAGTTCACCTGAATTGATGTCACGTGACTGCTGGTCACAGCTGAGGCACAAATGGCGTCACAGTTGTGCTGAAGAATGCAGTTGAGCTGTTTTGTTTTTTTCACAGAGCCTGGTTAGAGCAAATGGTATATTTTCTGGCGTATTTGTATATGAGATGTGTAGCATAAAGTGATAAAATATCACAATTTTAAGCTTAGATTTGGTTAAATATTCCCAATCAAAAAGCACACACACAAACGAATAGTTCAACGATCGTCAGGATGTTAAAAATTAAATGATTCTTTTATGGCAGTTCCTAGCTGTTTTACAAATGATGTCATTTTTGTGCATTTTTTATCAAGACAACATGTCCTTCAAGCCTACCGGTGGGTTTTGGGGTTCAGAGGGTTAAAATCATAATAAGTTGCACCTGTTCAGTCAGTGAATCATCTGTTGCTGAGGATGTGAAATACCCTGAAGAAAACATACAAGCTCAGGACGGAAAAAAAAACAAGGAGAGCACTGATAGCAATGTTAGTCATTTCTCATTGTGTAAGGACAAGGAATGTTTTAGTCCTGGGACGTGCTTTCTACGCTGTGTAAGCACACATGTACGTATCACAGTGTCCACTCTGTTCCTGAGCTCTCTCTGCTCTTCCACATGCATGTGCATGCATAAACACACCGGCAGGAAGATGCCATGTGAGCAGAATGTCCCATGCTAATGTTACGGTGTCGACAACATTGGATTAAATGTGTGACTGTTTCCATAGCGAGGACGGTGTTGATGATGATAAAGGGAGCGTCATCCCTGTGCGTATTACGTATCCCGCTGAGGGGAATCCCCCCCTGACCTTAGCATCTACACCAGACGGGATTATGGGATTGCTTGGTAGTCCTGGCGATGAGGCAGATATCCCTGGTGATATGCATTAGTCATCACCTGGGTGAACAATCACCCAGGAGACTAAGGAGCTCACTGTGACATCCCAGTGGCAAACGGTGTCACTGGTTGAGAGATGCCTTTGAGCTGTGAGTCAGTGCCGTTATTAGAGCTGTTGTTTCCTGAAGCTCTGCATTTATTGCTGCTTCTTGTTGTTGTGTATGTGTAAATAGCTTTGATTATTGCTGCTTTTGCTGTATCTGCTGCAGATGTGTCGATTAATCTGCCACTAATAAGCCACATAAAGACTGACTGACTGATCTGTATTTTAATAGCTCAAACTTACGAAGAGTTTCACATGAGCTGACAGTACATACAGCTAAAGTGTAGGCATGTGATTAAGCTTTGAATTTCACAGCTCACAGCCAGTTTACACCAACATATCAACATGCATAACAGAACCTATGGTGCTGCAATGGAAACAATATCCATTTGGTTTCAGTCAATATTTGAATAAGAGCATAAAGATCAAAAACATGTAATTAATGTTTGCCTAAAGCCGACGATTCATTAAAGCACCGACAGTTGAGCTGCATCATAGAAGCTGTCATGGGCTGCACTTTATTAAAAACTAATTTATGAATTCATTGCAAGAACTGGTTTGTAAAACGAAGTGCATCGTTTCAGGTGCCGGTCAGATTTACTAAATTACGGCTAAAAATGATTGATTCGCTAGCATTCCATGTACAGGGCTACAGTCCCGATGTGGAGGTCATGGGTTCGAATCCCACTCATGACCCTTTCCCACACGTCCTCCCCCTACTCTTCTCCCCTACTTTCCTGTCTCCCTCTCACTGCTCTATCAAATAAAGGCACAAAGGCCAAAAAAAAACTAAAAAAATGATTGATTCACACTGATTCAGATGAAACTTGATCACCACGGACATCAGCATGTTCACAACCTGTCAGATGTAATCACAACTCAAGACATTTCCTCTGCTTATAATACCAAAAAAACAAATGCTACCAGATACTGATCACTGTATGTTCTTCTCTTTCCTTTTGCAGTTTCGATGTGGACAATGGCACATCATCAGGTCGAAGCCCCCTGGACCCCATGGCCAGCCCGGGCTCAGGCCTCATCCTGCAGGCCAATTTTGTCCACAGCCAACGGAGAGAGTCGTTCCTGTACCGCTCTGACAGCGACTACGACCTCTCGCCTAAATCTATGTCCCGAAACTCCTCCATTGCCAGTGACATGTGAGTGCATAATGTCTTCTGCTTCCACCTGAACCTTCGTAAAATGCACCCAAATGTTCCCTGTTGTGCCGAATGCTAGTTCTTTTTTTCTTTTTTTTTTTGTCTGCCTCTCTGAATCTGTGTCACGGTTCGATGTTTATAGCACACCAGGTCTTAAAGCTTCCACGCTGATTGCTTCGGACCTGGTGGGAAGTGTGCATGACCAGCAGCTGATTGTGTGGTGTCACATCTATTCTTAGCTGTAACCAGTAGCACAAACAGAGTGGTCTGTGACAAACTGTCCACGAGCATTGTTCCGCATCTGATATTATGTCAAATTGGCATTTTAATTTAAGGATAGATATGTGTGCTGATTTCAGTCTGTTTAAATTGTTAATTAGTTTAAACATTTCTCTTTCATAATTCCCCGTTTACCTTCCAGCTTTACCAAAGCTCGCTGCAGACATGTTAATAACACACCAGTCAACTGGCATCTTCTAGGTCAGAGTATATGTTGACAGCACATTCCTCACTTCCCACACAACGCGGGCTATCTAGTTACATGTACTGTACACTTTGTGCTACAGGAAATAAAAATATTGATTCGAAAACACAGCATTTCGATCCCGCCTGAAAAGAAAGACAAATAGGCAAAAGGATGAATAACAGCGTCCAGCGGTAACCTTAGACTTCCTCGTTCTGGGTCTTTTTGCTCCGTAGTAATAAACCAAAGATTCTTTCTCGACTTATGTCCGCTTTCCAGGTTCTCATCAGTACTGTGTGTCTTATACATCCTTATTTTTCATTTATTTTTTTACTGAATTGGACACACGAGAACATTTGCAGATAGGGAAACAGCTGTCTTTATGACATTCCTAATAACACAGCTTCACAATCAACCTCAAATCAAGTCAACCTGTAAATATTAAATCAGGTGAAGTCTAGAAATTGTCCACAAATTCCTTGAAGTGAAAATGAAAACCAAGAGCCACACCTTACTCGTTATTTCATTCATTATCCTCTCACAGCCCGTCGTCGTCACCCTGAGCACCTTCTGTTTGTTTTGCGATAGAAGCACATGACAAACCCGCATCTCTTTTGCGTCAGACACGTCAGCCCCCCACGTGCTCGTAGCACGACGTGGTCTCGTACGACTGAGCGGCAGGCAGGAGGCTCCGTGACACCAGCACCACGCTCTCGTCACCTGGACCTGTTGACACTGGTTCACATAGCTGGGAAGTCAGCAGGGTTATGACTCAAAGTTTACTGGCTGGGTTTCTTTTTTAGCTCGGTTGACTGAGTAATGCTTTTTCACAATGTCCACTGCGGTGCCCTTAAGCAAGGCTCTTAAACTCCACCTCCAGCCATGTGTGTAACACCATGGGAAAAAAAAAAAAAACTGGAGGCAATCAGTGGGGGCGGTTCAGAAACTTGCTCAGCTGACATTTGCCTGGATGGACAAAAGTCAATAAAATAGGAACTAAGAGTTGCCTAAGACCTAAAGGATTTAGTGTCGGGCAGGAAAGGGGAGGAAGGTGGGAAAATAGGGAGTGAACATGGAGAAAGAGTGGCTGTATGGCAGTTTGAGTATTTTTACAGTGTTCTATGTATGAGAATATTTCAACAGGAACACACTAAACTACCTTCCATGTACTGAGACACCCATAAATCCCTCCAGGTCTCTTGCTGAAACCTGAAACTCTTCCCGAACTGTTAGTAAAGCTGGAAGCTGATGTATAGAGTAAACATGCCAGAGAGATTGAACGCATAAGAGACGCTGAAATTAATCTGATGTGATTACCCTCCCTCCTCCACCCACCCTTTGACCTTTCCATAACATGAGCTTCTGTTGATGAATGTCAATATACCTCAGACCTGCATCTAACATCAGCACCGCTCTCTGTTTCTTCCAGTCACGGTGACGATATGATTGTAACGCCATTTGCACAGGTAAGCAGCTGCTCCGATGTAGTTGGATCCTGTTTTGCGTTGTCATGATGCGATGAACGCCACATGATTCTGTCCTCCTCTATCCCTTCAGGTTCTTGCAAGCTTGAGAACTGTACGAAACAACTTTGGTGCATTAACTAATCTTCAGCAAGACAGAGCATCCAATAAGTAAGTTGCCAAAGTTTCTTCAAACTGGAATTAAATTTGATCACAAGCACGTTATGCATAAGATGTTCTGTGAAGTGATTTGAAGTCCATGCACCTGCCTGAACTCACTGATGCTCTGGCTGAGCATGCCCTCTGTTGTTCCTTTTGAGTACTACAACAACAGCATCAATCATTTTTTGCTTAGGTACCATCAGGTTTAGTGCTAGCTGAAAGGAAATGGTGCTTCCTCACTGAAACAGATTCAACTTCATGTATATTTGAGGTCACTGATTGTCCCTGTTTTGGGAAGGAAATGTCTCAGTGTGTGTTTGTTTCCCCCCATGACAGGAGATCACCCATGTGTAACCCACCACCCATCACCAAGACCACCTTCACAGGTACGTGGCCAGTGAACAGGAGTGTGAGGACTGCTGTGTGTGTCTGTATGTGATGTAATGTGAGGAGTGGGATTTGTCATAGTAAACACTAGAGGTCTCATTATTTAGCACTCAAACACAGGATCAAGTTTAGATTAGTGGTTCACAGCAAACTATGTTGTCTGCTGGTAAATGTTAAATAGAACTGAAAGTAAGTAGTTTTACAACGTGAAAAGTACAGTTTGTAGTAGTCGCATTTTATTTCCAACGAGCAGGCTAAATAGATGCAGAGGATGCGGTTGTTGTTCCAGAGATGTTTGGTCTGTTGTAAGATGCGAGCGTAGTAACGATCAAGCACTGGCAAACACACACATAGCGTGCAGGGAGCCAAAGAACATGAACATAATATCCAACAGTGTCAGAATACAAATATGGACGACATATTCTGCAGAGTATCGGCTCGCTGCAAAAGAATAATACTGACACATGATTCATTCGGTTTCTTGAGTGGCTTGTTACAGAAGTTTGGCAAGACAAGCGCTTCACTTTATGAAAAAAATTGTTTGCTTTCATGCGGTTTCATTTTGGCTCTTTATTCCACAAATCGGTTTTGGTTGATTAGGAACCAGTTCTGTGCCACCGGGCTGTCATCCATAACCATACACTTACCACTGCTTCCATACTGGATTGACAGGTTGTGTATATAGTCCGTCTTGACTTGGATATTGTGATGTGCTGCAGACAGCCTTTGCTGCGCAGCCTGTCTGGCCTACTTTCAGTGTTTTTGTTGTGAGGATGACATGGCACAGACAGTATTGGATGGCTAGAATAGACTTGCCCTTGACAGTCACATTGCTTTTTTCGCAGTATCAATGGCTGTAACCTAGCTGGTGTTTGCAGGAGACACCATATAACTTCCACCATTAATAAGTAATTTGTGTTTTAGAGTAAAATCGTCACGAGGGCACATGCACAGGCACCCGGAGAATCACATAAACACACACGTACATGTACGTTACAAAAAGCTGGAAAGATAGTTTTTAAATGTGGAAATAACACAAAGCCAAATTTGCTTTTTCTATGTTTGTGAGATCTTTATTAGTAGTTTTATGGACCGTAGTTGATCCATGATCCAGACGGGTGCTCGCCCAGGCTTCAGCAACAATCGTGGATTAAAAGCAGACGTTAACCATCACAGTTAAACTTTTTTTTAACAATTTCAGTTTTACTACTATCACTTTTTAAAGAGCACAGTCCATATCGGCCATGCTCCACCTCTCCTCAAAGCTGAATCAAATTCGGCCTGGTCATTTTTGCGTAAACCCTTTTAAAACTCCGTCACAACAAAAAACAATCCAACATGGCGTGGTCGTTGCAAAAAGGAGCATTTTATCCCCCTGGAAGATGTCCCCTCATTTAGGACTGGGTTATCAGAGATCCCCAACTCGTTAAGTATGGAAAAGATCAGATATACTGGTTCTCTCTAGTCAGCAGCCTTTGATAGAATGTGGGAGCCTTTTTTGTCTCATATATCTAGAAACTCCTGAGGTTGTTGTGTTTATATCTCTGGACTGTACAACTGTGTGTATATACACTATATTGGCTAATGCTATATGATCCCAATAAGTTTTTTTTAAAGTATAAGTTGTTTTTAATGGTTATTATTCTATTTCTTCATATTTTCTCATTATTATTATTATTTTTATTGGCAGTAATAGTTGAAGTAGTAGTAGTAGTAGTAATAGTAGTAGTATTTTATTTATTTGTTTTATTCTTTCGGGCTGGATGGAGGGAAGCGCGTACATGTCCACTGTTACTTGTTTTGTCTTTGATTGTTCTCTTTATAACAAGAAAGTAAAATATGACAAAATGAAAAAAAGACACACAAATCGCAGTGAGAATATACCACACCTTGGTAAGAAATAATTCCCCTCAATCTTAATGCAGTGACAGGAAACAAAGCGCTTGTTACTTATGTGGTCCCATGAACATAAAAACATTACAAGTAGTCGACAGTGTGTGTCTACGTGTGTGTCCCGACACCAAAAGCTCTGATTTGTGAGTTTTGTGATCCTTCGCAGCCCAACATTCGCCCTGAGAGTCACATTCCTAATGTACAAGCTGCTAATATACGAGGACCACGGTGACATTGTGCTATATTTAGAACACAATCATACTGGTGGACAGCCATTATGGGCCCTGCCATAAACTGGTTGACAGCTGTGAGTCATGAGCGTGATTATTTGAGAGTATTGACTGATACTTGTGATGCAAGCGGCTTATCAATGCTACAAGAAGTCATTTTGCAGAGAAAGACAATCTGGGGACTTGGAAACTCATTAAATCAGTCGAGTGGAAGACGCTGGTCAAGAAAAGTGGGTTTAAGCGTTTGTTGCCCTTTTTTCTGCTTCTATCTTTATCTTCCCGCCTCTTCCTCCTGCTCGTGACTGCATTCTTCCGTCACCCGACATTGACTTACCGTTGAAATGAACTATTTTAGAATCGTCTAAAATATGAAAAGAATTATTAAATGTTCTGTGACCTTTTACTTATTATGGATAAGAATAGACGCTAGTTAAAGCGGAACAGAGGCGCGCTGATTCATAATCGCTGCACATGAGACTGGCAGAGCAAACACGCTGACAAAACGTGCTGCAAAGTTTCAATCGAGATAAGATTATTCATCCAGTATAGTCAAACCAAAAGACTGTGGCAGCTTTTTTGGTCTCAACATGTGCTAATGGGGCTTTGGAGAAACGTACAAATCTTTTTTTTTATCAATATGCCTCACAGTGGACTGACTACAGATGGATGTTTTCCAATATCTCTCTTTTTGGAGTAACATGGAAGAACATCTCTTTAAAGACAGTTAAGACTAGAGTACAGCCAGTGTAAAACTGAACAAAAAACAACTTTATAGTAAATAGAACATATGTTTTGATAGTTGATTAATACTTTAAATATTTCTAATTTGCAAAAGTGTTGCTTTTCTATTGTTTATACCTGAATGTATTTGTATGACTGAATAATATTGGACTGTCAGTTATGCATAAACACTTAGAAGACATTAGCTTGAGCTCTGGTAACTTATGCCACTGTTTCCTGACTTTTTATCAATTAAATAAATTCTCAAATAATCCATCTCATCTTCTCCCACTAGAATGTACACAGAACACTGTACAGATTTAACATGGTTGCTAAATAAAATCATTTAACCTCATAAAGTTTCTACTGATGCATGATAGAATAACATAAATCATTAATTAATTGATATCAGAGGTATTATTGCTTTTCTCTAAAGGTGCATTCGCTCCTTCCTCCTCATCTCTGCGTCTCTCCTCCCTTCCCCTCTTCCTTATTCCTCCTCCTCCTCCTCCTCCTCTCATCTTCTCCCGCTCACGGTCCGACTTCACCGTCAAGCTGTTCCGGTACATAGTTTGGCTGCAGCCCTGCGTCTGTGCAGCAGAGTGGCCTCTCCGAGCGCCGGTGTCTGATGTCGCACTAAGCATGAGAAGAATGTCATTGACGTCAGTGCAGTTGCTGTCAGAAAGAGTAGCACCCCAGCCACTGACACCACACCAGGGAGAGAGAGAGACAGGGAGACCGAGGGAAAGAAAAGAGGGGAGAGACAAAAAAAGAGAGAGACAAAGGAGCTAGGAGGAAGGATGATCAGTGGAGGAAATGAAGAGTGTGGGAGAGGAAGGGGACTAAAGGAAAAGGAGGGAGGGAGAGATTTGTCAAAGACAATGAAGCAGGAGATGGGGGGGATTTTGTTGAGAATATGAGGAGACACAAAAGGTTTGGAGGTAGTCAGGTTGGTGGACTGGAAACAAAAATTGCATCGGATCAAATAATATAATTCACAACTCCAGGAGCTAGAAGCTGAGAGATGTAAACTTTTAAAATAAAATGAAAGACAGGTGCCAATTTATGCCCCCAAAAGGCTTTAAGAGCGTCTAAATGCTGATCTGATGTGGCATCATGTAATTAAATGAGCTCCTTGTGTGTTTTAATCTGCCGCTGGTTTCTCTGTCTGTGTAACTGAATTACAGCTAAAGTGACCCCCCCTCTCAGATCACAGATCACATAGCATTAAAAGCCTGTGCTTTCCCAAATTAGTCAGGGCATCAATATTAATTGGCTTCTGACAAGGTGACATTTTCTGTTAACATAGGCTGACTTTGAGAGAGGCATGTCTTCAGTTTCAAATTAAAGAGGAAAAGGGATACGGTGATACTGATATGTAGGACTGCTGCTGCTGCTGATGATGATAAAGCCCTGCCATCTTTACCATCTATTTGTTTACCTGTCTGTCTCCTCCTATTTGTATGCTCGACACATATTAGCATGCACACACACAGCACGGTATAGGGAGCTCCCAGCCCTACTGGATCCTCTCCTCTTATCAATCCACTCCTCGTTTTGTCCCTCTCCCTTCCCCATCCACAGTGCAGTCCTCTCAGGCTTTAGGTACAGCTTGGGGAGAGCAGCACGTTTGGCTACCAGGGACGCCGAAGCAACAGCAGCCCACCCCCTACACTCACAGCATCCATAGGAAACACTATCCAGCACACACACACAGCTCTGGATTATAGCCTTTGCTTCCCGGATACCATGGATGTTTTTGTTGGCAGAAAGGCAAAGGAGACAAATTCATGATGTGTTATGGTTAGCATTTCGTCTGGTGTGAGTGTGTGTGCATGTGTGTGTGTCTGTTTGCGTCCGTTCGTGTGTGTGTGTGTGTGTGTGTGTGAGAGATGTCTTTGTATTTTTTTGTAACCATGTCAGGATGCTGTGAACAATCTGGTGTTTGTTCCGTGCTGGACTGTATTGACATGGATCCTGACCGGTTGTGAGCCTCTCACTGGATCCTCGTCTCCACCGTCCCTGTCTTCCCTCCATCCCTCCTATGGCAGACATGGGCCTGCTAAGCAGACTGTTGTTCATCTTGCTGCATGGCTGGAATTGTACTTCTCTTATAAATGACAGAGTAAAGCCTGTACAGCTGGAGTGTAATGTGTGTGCTGTGTGTGAGGGATTGTGAGTGAGTGTGTGTCTGTGTGACATTTCTGTTTTTCTACTGTTGCTCCCTTTGCTTCGTGGGTTACCTTCTTTATTCTCTGCTGTGGTTTCCTCACTGCTAACAAACATCTGGACACTCAGAACTGACTCAGGGTGGCTGTTTGCCACCCGTCACCTACAGCTGTGCTCCCGGGGATTGTATCCGACCTAAACCTGAAAGGACAAAATACAGGATTTGAACTGTAGAGCTGCACCGGAGGTTTCTGTTCTCCAAGGGAATCAGTGAGCTTTGCTACAGCTGACCTGCGATTGCTCATCTGTGGGTTAGGATACAGGACAAGAAGGCCCTGCTCCCAGGCCCTCACAGCTGGCTCACCTGTCCAGTATGAAGAGTCACCCATGTGTCTACTCGGGGTATCCCAGCTTAGCTGTTTGTGGGGTGGGAGACCCCGGGCCTGGACCGTCCACTAGCCCTCTGAAGCGGGCCCTTACTGACCCCTTGCCCTCCTGTCTTGCCCCTGCAGAGGAGGCCTACCAGAAACTGGCCACTGAGACCCTGGAGGAGCTGGACTGGTGCCTGGACCAGCTGGAGACGCTGCAGACAAGACACTCCGTCAGTGAGATGGCCTCTAACAAGGTGAGAACATCTAAAAAGTTTAGACCACAGCGTGCAGTAGTTTGGCTCATGTTGCAAGTGTTGATACAAAGCTGTAGGCTTTTTATTTAGACTCCAAATGCACATTTGCAGAAATGCACTGTCTGTATTATTTAATGAATGATGCAGAAGCTGGTACCCAGGATTCACCTTGATGAATGGAGATGTGTTGTTAAACTCTGGTTTGAGTGACTTGTTACATGTTGCAGTGCTGATGTTGTCTGAACTACTGAAGTTAACTTAAAGTTGTGCTATTATAAATGTTTATTTACAGAGTTTGCTACAGGTTGAGAATCATTTGTGGCAGATTAAGCTGAAAAAGGAGCTCTTTTTTATAAGAACATTGCTTGAGACTGCACCATTTCAGCAGATTATTTAATCAGAGCATACCTGCACTTCCATGTGTCTGAAATAGAAAAATAGAAAGAAATCTTGTTTGCTTCTTCCCCTTCTCTGTTTTACTATATTGCAAATTGCTTCTGAATGACCACACTGTGCTGTATATTCATTCAGCAGCAGTGATGTCCAGCACGACATTTTAAAAATTACCAGGAGAAGAACGATTTATAGGTTGCTGATGTTATTGATTATATTATATATAATTGATTGTAGCATGTGAAGTGTAATAATAACTAAGCAGCAGTTCCTGTATGTGTGTATATGTGGTGCTCTCCATTCCTTTGTTAAACTGTCAGGTATTTATCAACCCATAGTATTTACTATTTGAACCTCAGGATCTCAGGGCTTCTGCAGGCGTTACTGGGTTGTCCTATGTGCTCTTCATACTGTGTGCATTAATGCCCTTTGTAGCATTTAGCCATCGAAGCACACAGTGGACTGTTTGTGTTGTATTGTCCATGCATGTTAGTGATAGCATCGTCATGCAGGCAGGGAGTTTTGGTATGAGCATGCTCAGTCGCCTCCAGTGTGTGTGTGTGTGTGTGTGTGTGTATGTGTGTGTGTGTGTGTGTGTGTGAGTGTGGAGGGAGGCTGCTGTGCCGCTCTGAATGCTGATCAGCTCTGGGCTCTGGTGATGTCACACACCGTGATGTCACACGAGGGGGGACGGACCAAGAGGAAGAGGAGAGGCAGGCAGGGAGGACGGACAGACAAAGGAATTACACAAACGCACAGGTTTCACCTCTGATCTCGCCGCCATCACGTGCGTGACCGGTTGCATCTGCCTCATTTAAAAGTGAAAAGACTCGGGGCTGAAAAAACTAACGTGCTCTGCCTCGCCGTTGCTCACCAGCACAGCTATCTCCGGTTGTCATGGCAACAGCCACAGGCCCAACCACCCTGCTATCTCGCTCCGGCAACACACACACACACACACACACACACACATCACAGGTAATACAGTCGCTACATCTCCCACACATAGCCGTCACTTTGTGTCTGTAGCCTGAAGACTTTCATTTATCAGCCATCAGCACAATCCTTAATTCATCAATGAAGAGATCAAACAGAAACAATAAAATGGAATTCCTTTGAAGCAAATTGAATTAAATTACAGTGAAATCAGCACGTCATTTTTTTTCCTGAATGTAACGTTCGGGGACGTTTCTGAGAACCATGTGCAGCTGTTAGTGTTTGACATGTGGAAGCAGGACAGATGTTTTTCTTCCATCCCACAGTAATAACACCAAGATCAGATTTTTGGCATCACCTGGTAAAACAATGCATGTCACCTCTGAGTATCAGTATTCTCACTACTACTCTATTACCCTTTACATTAGGTTAAACAATGTGATGTACCCGTTTGCCCCTCAGCACATGGTCACTATGCTGCTTCATACATACCGAGCACAGCTATTCAACACCTTTTCATCTCTAAATTCCGAATCCTGACGCAGTCTTTGGGATTCATACGTCTTTTTTTGACGTAACTGGTTTCTTATCAAGGTGTTCTAGTTCAGGATGTGGCTACATTTCCACCCTTTGTGTGGGTGTAAGTGTTTCTGGAATCAGCAGCTGGTCTTCCTCTGGCTCTGCTTTAGGAACAGTGTGTGCTAGTCAAGTTTGATCAGCATGCCTCTTCAAGGTGTGAGCTGTTTCTGAGGTAACTTTGGAGAACAAAGGATTGGAGATGGGATGTCTGACGTAGACCTGAAAGAGTACGTTTTAGTGGTGGCAAGACCTCTCGTAGGACCTCTCTCTGTTATGGTTGTGTCGTTGTCTGATCTGGTGATCCTTGGCTCTGGCATCAGGCTGGTAACTGGTTCGATGTTGCTCTGTATCCGTGTTACGCCATCATTTTATGAGTCGTGTCACACATGGAGTGATGCTGATTATGAATCTAGATTGTTTTGCATCAGAGGTGTCTTTTTTTAAGTTCACAAAATTTTCTTTAAAGGTGCTTTCTTTGCAAACGGATTTTAATGGTGGTCAAAGGTGGTACCCCCCATGCGGAGAATATCATTGTCTCAGATTTAGTAATAGTTTAGTTTTGTGAAACATGGTCCATTTTCGGGGCTGCAAGGTGGCTCGGTGGTTAGCACTGTTGCCACCTAGCAAGAAGGTCGCCGGTTTGCGTCCCGTTGAGGACATCCAGGATCTTTCTGCGTGGAGTTTGCATGTTCTCCCCGTGCAGTGTGGGTTCTCTCCGGGTTCTCCAGCTTCCTCCCACAAGGTCCAAAAACATGTTGAGGTTAATTGGTGATTCTAAATTGTCCGCAGGTGTGAATGTGAGTGTGCTTGGTTGTCCTTCTCTAAGTGTAGCCCTGTGATAGACTGGTGACCTGTCCAGGGTGTCCCCTACCTTCACACTGAGTCAGCTGGGATAGACTCCAGCCCCCCATGACCCTAGTGAGGATTAAGTGGTGTATAGATAATGGATGGATGGATGGTCCATTTTCAAATTGGAGTATTTTCTCACATTCCAGAAAGAGTTTGTCTATTGTAGCATTTTGATAATGTAATTAGACATGTAGGGTAACATCTATGTTTTTAAAGCTGCAGTAGGCAGATATCCGGAAAAAAAACAAAAAAAACACCAGATTTCTTTCTTCTCTGTTTTATGCACACACAAAAAAAAGTGCAAAAACTCACGAGTAATAACGTGTGACTTCACTGGGGATTCAGACATGACGGTCCTATATTTAGCCCTTTGCACCACCATGTCCTTTTAACACTGTGAGCTTTGTTGGTATTTATGTTCCCTCACCTCATCTAAATGGAAAGTCCCGTGATGGTGCTAGGTACAGGCGCTGATGTCATGTTTCATCTCAGACCATTCAAATTACAATGTACAGAAAGGTTACCATGGATTTTTTTTTGGCCCAGTGATGCCGTAACAATCCTGTCAACCCCAGCTTTGGGTTCCTTTGTGGATCCTTGATCGAAGGATCTTTTTGTTTTTCGTGGTTGCAGCAGGTTAACTGTAGGTGGCAGTGTTTTTACACTTACCACATGTCCAGTGCAACCATTTCAGGCTTTGATTTTCCCTTTTACATGCACAATAACTGGTAACTTTTGCAATTTTCCAACATTTGTTGATGCTATGGATTCAATTTGGGTTCAGTTTAGTTTCACAAATTCTTAAGGACACTCTCAAGATCTTGAGATGACATGTTTTTTTGCAGTTCTCTAACAATCAGGACACAAATCCTGCTCTCTTTAATTAGTATTTTTCTGCCATATACCTGACAGGGTCAACAGGAGAATAATAGGCTATAGCACCTCGGCTGGCTGCAAGAATGCTTTTGATATTTGACCTATTTCCAGAAAATGTGTCTCAGCTGCTCATCGTAATGGAGAGCTACAGGTTCATCAGATTAGTTACACTTGTTCAGCAGCATCACAAAACTGTATGACTTGATCTAGCACACATCTAACAGGCCTCCATCATGTTGTTCACCTTTTCTGAATGATGGGCAACATCCCAGCATTCAATCCATAATCATACTGGTGCACTTTGTTGTTTTGAGTCCAAACTCTGCCGGTCTTATCATATTAATTATTCACTCAGACATCATCTAGATAAACTTCCACATGTCTTATAAACTGTTGGAATAGCAGTAGTCCATAAACAAGGCACTTCATAAGTCCATGCAGATGTTGCAACTCAGATTTTGTGCTCAGGTTTTGAGTATGCTATTTAGGTTTAGTATATATTTCTATGTATTACTGTTTCCTCAAAGCCAAGAGATCTTTTAACGGGCTCATCTTTCTTTATCTAAATTGCTAGCATGCCGGTCAAAGTCATTCTTCAGTAGCTGAATTAGTTTATGGTACATTTTACTGTTATTTTTAGTGATGAACAATCATTCTGCTAGAAAATTGAAATCACACTTTCTAACAATGGTTGTAGCAAGCAGCGGTTTAGAACATACATTATACAAAGAGTCTGATAGATATTTTCCTTCAAACCATTCAGCCCTGACATATATATAGCGCTGATGTCTCACCCTTTACCTTTATTGTTCGGCTATTTAAAGCCTTCCTATGTATAGATTTCCATCTCAACGTCTTGTGCAGCTCATGAATGGGCAGCGGAGTTGTTTCTCACAGTCAGCAGTGCAGTCATTGAAAGCGGTAGCAGCTCCTGCTCTCCCTCCGTTCTGCAGAGAGGGGGCGTCTGCCGCGAGAATGAATGTGGAATGTGAGAACAGAAACAAATGCAGCAGAGACCTGGAGGTGTTGTGGTCTATATACAGCAGGGAATGGATATTTTTGGTCACTCCGCCAAAGAACAAATTACACACAAGTCACAGCTAAGCCATGGTGTGACACTTTCCAATTTTTACCCAATAGTTTGTGTTCACACCTCTTGACTAAGCCATCGCTGTGTGTGTGTGTGTGTGTGTGACAGTGAGTGGGAGTGTGTGTGGTTAGGGGGGGTTTCTGTGTGCGTTTGTGTATGCTCCAGCTGGGAGTAAACTGTGTGTGTGTGTGTGTGTGTGTTGGTGTGTGTGGTGGGCCTGTGCTGGCCTGCTTTGGCTTTGAGTCAATCAAAGCTGCTGGATCTCAGTTAGCCGGTGGTCTCATCTGCTCCAGCGTAGCTGTAAATTACTCACAGTGCCAGGCTGGCTGTAGAGGTGGGGTGTAAAGTAAGCAGAGACAGGTTTGGTCCCTTTTCAATCCGTGGAACCACTGGACCAGCACACAAACTCAACTCATGCATGCACACGTATGTTTACACGCCAAGAAAACAACAAAGCAGAGACCTCCTTGCTTGTCAATGAATCATTGATGAGTTCAGAGACTGTACAAGTTGTGTGTGATCAAGATTCAATATTATACATATACATACATATATATAAAAATACCAGATTACTAGCAAAAGGACAAAAAATATGAGACAGATCTGCTCGTTTGCTTGAGAATTCAGGTACAATGAGGTTAAAATATGGGGCAAAAAAGCACTAATCACATTTTAATAAGCTGCCCTGTCATAATTAATATCACTCTGATGAATCAGTGTGTTTCTGTGACGTCCTGTTCAGACTGCAGAGGAACAGTTCATCCTAAAGCTGATGTCTGAGCCTGTCAGTTGCTGAATTTGTAGTTTGATGCAGACAGAAGACATGTTTTTCTGTAAATACACTAGTTTTCTGTCGCGTCCTTGGTGTTTAATTAAGCTTTGTTTTGGTATAGAATTAAAAGCATCCTTTTTCGACCATAGATGGATTTTTAGGTTAGTATTTGTACCTGGAAGGTTATTTTCTAATTTGTAACCTTCTTTATTAAATCATCATAAAGCATTTAAACCCAGTGTAATATGTTTTACTAGCATTCATTATTTTAAATTTTATTCTACATCATTGCATTCTGTATTTCTAAATTATGCAGACATCCACATTGTAATCATCACCTCACAGTATTTATTTCAAAGTGTAACGTCAAAGCTTCCAAACTTCCTCAAATCACTATAATTTTTAAAAAACTTTCTTTACTGTCGCAGATATAATTCAATGAAATATTCTTTTTGCACCATTACCTAAACTTATCTTTAGCATTTCTCAAAATAAGCCCAAATTCTCAAATGTTAAATGTCGTCTAAACTATATTTCCTAAATAAAATGGTCTCAAACTGCTAAAGTTAAGAATAAGTCAACAATTTAACGACTTTATCTTGAACAAACTGCTCGCGACACATTTCCGCTGTGTCCAAATGTAAAACCTTTTCCCAGCAAGCATTGTAAAAAGTATCAAGGTTCAGTATCCACCTGTACTTGTAATTACCAGAAACAATCTAGTAATTACTTAACCTCAGACGTCTCATATCGTTAATCTCTGCAGGACGGGATTCAGGTGCTCCGCTTCCTTTAATTAGAACGAAGTGCAAACAGCGCTCTGGCAGTCCCCTTGGAGATTTTTAAGCTTTATTATTAGATATGACCCCTTTACTGTACTCAATTATTTAATTATTTTTAATCATTATCTTGTTGGTCACTTGACTTGGCTTTTGCTTTTTGTACTTTAAATCTTTCTCGACAAAGAGATTATCTGATAAAAAGCAAAATTATGATAGAAATGACTGCTGGACATATGAAATACGAGTATTATTTGCTGCCTGCATTTTGTTCCCATCTATTTATAAGGGGACCTTTCATACTATGTTTGATGGGAGGGTGGGAGGGAATCACCCTTTGCTAAGGTTTGATCCTTTCAACTAAAACAGCAACCTCTTGAGCAGTGACACACACACAGCAGCCGGTGTGGACACGGAGCTTTCTGTCCAACCGAGCCCACTTCAGATAACGGTGACGCTCATTCTTTCTCTCGGATTAATGAGGAGTTTTTTTTTATGTATTTACATCATCTCATCAGTGATGTTACTGTGACTCACCTCCCATGAATACTGGGCTGGAGGGTGACCTCAGTTGTTCAGTATTGTTTCATGGCGGATGAGGTAACCTGTGCTTTTACACATTGAACAGAAGGTTATGTCACGTAAACATATTGCGCACACACACACTGCTGAATGCTTTATGAATACATCCTAAACACATACTGTATGCGCTGTACACACACACACATATGTACACACACACAAAAAAAATCACATTCCGCTGCACAGCAAGACTTAAAGGAAAAAGGAAGGGGTAGATTTTTCCACTGACTTCAGCACCAGCCAATCACGCAGCAGGTAGTCTCGGAGCTCGTTCCAATCCAAGCCAATCAGAGGTGATGATGAGCTCACACTCCTTTCAGATCTGGGCCCCGATTGGCTGCTGTTGCGTGACACTACGAGGAAAGCAGTCTGCTCTCTTCACATGGGAGCTTGTGTCATAGAAGAAGCGGGCAGACTGTCAGGCAGACAGTCCTGAAAAAATTTTTTTTTTTTGCTGTCCTGGTGCTTTGGCACAAACCAAGCATCCGCACCATCATCAATTATTCACAGCCACAGCAGCGCATCCCTGTATTTGACTGCATGTGTGTGTGTGTGCGTGCACACCTCGGTGTGTACCACTGTGTGTGGTCACAATATGTTCTCATCGGATCTTTGGGGAGCCACGTTCCGGTCGCTTCTCTCTCTGAATCTGCTTTTCCTCTCGGCTTCCTGGGGCTCGATAATGTGGATATTCTCTGGACGGAAGCGTGAGGCTTCATCCGTGGACTCTGTGCAGCTGATTCACCTGGAACCGAGCTCTGGAGCCTCCTCGGGTTGAGGTGTTTTATTGACGAGAGCTGCGGACTGCTTTTGTTGTACTAGCTGGCTTTCATTAACTGAACTGTGTACCCGGCTATAAAACTGTACCTTTTCTGTTCCTGGATCTGGTTTTGTTGATTTGTCAAAATGCCTGAAGCAAATTATCTGCTGTCTGTGTCCTGGGGATATATAAAGGTAAGATGTGTTGAAATGTTGGTGTAGCTTAATTAAATATTCATGTGATTGCTTCAAATTCATTTCCAGAAAATGGAAGTTGGAGATTTTTTTTTTTGGTCACGTTTATCCAGGTTTATCCTTGAGACAGATTGGGATGCAGGGTTTTATGAACACAAATAGAAAGCATGTACTAAATATAGCTCCTCGCCAACATGTCGGCCGTGGAACAATGCTTCATAGGTGGGACATTTCTGGATCTGTTATGTTGTGTCTGTGGCGATGGTGCTTGCACCCTGGTTAGAAAGGTGTCTGGATGTAATGCACGCAATCACACAAAACATTTTAAATGAATTTGGATTAACAAGACAGACATTTCACCCTGCCTGTAAACTGTAAATATTTGATTGGCAGTCATTCCTCTTAGGTGCAACAGTGAAATCTTTCCTTTTTTTAGGTTCACAAGAGTTTATTTTCTGACATATTAACATTTTTTTTAAGCTACAAATCTAAACATTGCTTTTATTCCTCAATATTTTTTTTTCCAGTGACCTCATCTTGCAATCATTCTGTTTATTTACTGATTATCGTTGCTATAAACGGCTCTACCTGATGTGTATTTATAGCTTTCCTTCCCTCCTGGCTCCTATCACCTGACCAAAGCGCACTACAGATGGCTCTTAGCCTTTTGTGTCTCCTTTTTTTTTTAAAAAGCCGCCCACTGAATGCCGGTGGGTGTTCTTCAATTGGCTTCAATTGTGCAAGTGAGCGCTCTGCCCTTTTGTTATGAACTGTTTTAAGCCATCAATGTTGATTTACATAATAAGTTAATATACATCCGTTATGCGTTGAGGCCAAAGCCAGAATCATTAGACAAGTTGGTTTTTTACACTCTGTTGTGTAACTTCTTTGCAGCCACTTTGGAGAATCCCCAATTTCAATCATCCGCCCCCTCCTAGGTTGATCTTCAGATGAAAAGCTGGAGCTAAATTTGGGTCTGCCACTTCAATTAGGCACAGCAGAGGGGAGGGCAGATGAAAGAAGGGTCAGGAAGAGAGGGGGGGAAAAAAAGAGAGAGACTGGCAGGGTGACAGAGGGAAAACTGAAATTGAAAGAAACTTGGAAATTGGGTTACTGATTACTTCTGTCCGTGTCAGTAGCTCTCTGACCTTGTGTGTGTGTGTGTGTGTGTGTGTGTGTGTGTGTGTGTGTGTGTGTATGTGTGTGTTTGCTTGTGTGACTCACGAAAAGGTGACATTCCTGGGAACAGCTTCTGTGACGAGACTTTCATGACAATTTTGGTGATAATTTATGTGCCTCAAATGTACCTGGAGAATAAATACAGCCAAATGAGTGCAGCTCATGCCTCTGAGTACCAGTTGTAAAAACAAATCATTCTTCTGTCCTGCACTACACACCGTTAAACCCATCACCTGTGTGTGTGTGTGTCTTCCTCTTTCAGTTCAAGAGGATGTTGAATCGGGAGCTGACTCACCTATCAGAGATGAGCCGCTCCGGGAACCAGGTGTCTGAGTTCATCTCCAGCACCTTCCTGGGTGAGTGATGACATAAGAAGATGGTCTCACTGGTTTAGATTTTTTTCTTTTTCCCATAAACGCCATCATGCCTGAGCAGTGAGGATCCTCGTATTCACTATCCATCTGTTCTCCAGACAAGCAACATGAAGTGGAGATGCCATCCCCTCAGACGCAGAAGGAGAAGGAGAAGAAGAACAAGCCCATGTCTCAGATCAGCGGGGTGAAAAAGCTGCAACACTCCTCCAGCCTCACAAACTCCAATATCCCTCGCTTTGGGGTCAAGACCGAGACCGAGGACGAACTTGCTAAGGTGTGTGTCTGGACAAATGGCACCTCAATAGGCTACACAATCAGAACTATGGGCGCACTTCATGTACATAAATGTAAAATTTGTGTCTGACCATGTCTCTGTGTCTTTTTCAGGAATTGGAGCATGTGAATAAATGGGGCCTTAATGTTTTTAAAATCTCAGAATTCTCTGGGAATCGGCCACTGACAGTCATGATGTACACGATATTCCAGGTAGAGAAGCTCGCTTCCTCATCTTGATCCGTCACTCCAAAATAAAAAAACTTGTTGAATCCCAAAATTGTCTTGACCGTAAAAAAAAAAAACTTCTTCCTGTAATTTTCTGATTTGCAGGAGAGAGACTTGTTGAAAACTTTTAAAATTCCACTTGACACCTTTATAACATACCTGATGACCTTAGAAGACCATTACCATGGCGATGTGGCCTACCATAACAACATCCATGCTGCTGACGTCACCCAGTCAACTCACGTGCTGCTATCCACCCCTGCCCTCGAGGTGAGCCGCACGAACACACCTGCACAGACGTAGACACAAACACGCATCAACAATCGACTTCAATCAAACTCAAAGTGCTCCAAGTCTAATCAATGACTCGTACTTGAAAGAATATTTTCGTCCGACTAGTTGCTCCTCTCATCAATGTCCGCCCTTCTTCCTTCTTCTTTCTTCCAGGCCGTGTTCACAGACCTCGAGATCCTAGCTGCCATCTTTGCCAGTGCAATTCATGACGTGGACCATCCTGGAGTCTCGAACCAGTTCCTCATCAACACCAGTGAGTCTAAATACGGCAGCGTCTTAGCAGCTATGTCAGTGGCTCAGCAGTGTCATTCATTAGTGCCTGTTCACAGACTACTCAAACATACGCTCGCAAGCCGTTATCCAGGTGGGAACATGCACACTGTAGCCTCACTAGAACACACACCCATCTGGCATTTTGCATTACAATTAACTTTTCTCATATAAACGATATTTCGTGTATAAACTAGAAGAATATGTACTAATCGTGCAGAACACACGTGCACATGGACATTATGCGCATGCACGACTTCACCAGCACGCTTTGTTCAGTCACGTGTGACGGCTCTGACACGTGACTCCAAGGCAAAGCAGTTCAAAGAGGTGATCGATATTGTCCTCAATGCTGCCCTGTCCGTGTAAAACAACCTAATTCTGGAAAACATCCTCCTAATCATTCAGGATAACATCCTCCTGAAGACTGGCCACACTACTGTTTCATTAGGGGCGGTCCTCCACACTGGGGGCTGTGTCCGGTCTGCTGCTGGGGATGCTGTCCACGGGTCCCTTCAGCCCGACTGGTTGGGGGGCTCCCCACCTCGGTGTGGGGGTCCCCGGGTGCCAGCGCCCTCAGTGGTCATGGTCTGCGACTCCTCCTGGTGTGGACGGCCCCAGTTGGTAGTATTTTGCTGGAGAAGGGGTGTCAAATTCTGGCCCACAGGCCAAATTTGGCCCGCTTTGTAATTATATTTGGCCCACGAGACAATACCAAATGACTACTAGAGCTGCCCCCGGTATTATACTGTACAGCGCATTCACCGTTAATACTACAAATCCCATAATGCCCTGTTGTTGTTTTGGTGCGTCAATCAGGACAGGACCCAGAAACTCCCTCTCCTCTGTGACAGTAGGCATAGCGACTTCACACTACAACTGTCACTGTGCCACTGATGTGTTTTTTATTTATAATTTGATTTTGCATGTCTCCACTATTAAGCTATATACAATGTATGGTAATAAGCGTTGCTTGTTCCATATTCAATGTTAAAGCAAAATTAGTTTCGGTCCATATTAAAAGGTTCATTTGTTCAATGTTGGCCCGCGACTTCGTTCAGGTTTTAAATTTTGGCCCACTGTGTTGTTGAGATTGACACCCCTGTGCTAGAGACTCAGTGCCAGTCAGTGGTGTGTGAGTGTGTGCGTTTGTGTGCGTAGCCATATGTGTGTGTGTGTACATGGAGGGTAGGGGGGACAGGTTTTCTGGTCTTTTTTTCTTTCTTTGATAATGTTTTTAATCCTGTAAAGCACTTTGCGTTGCTATACGTATGAAAAGTGCTGCATAAATAAAGTTTTATTTGATTTGATACATAGGGAAACTCTGACATCTGTGGTAGAAACATAATGTAATATATAGTAAGGCAACCGTAAGAACTGTTTTGGGCCCCTAAATTACAAAAAAAAATCAGAATACATGATATTTTCTCATTTATACTGAGTGGAAACTAGAGCAGCTGCTTGTCTGTGAGTTACTCACCATTGCATTTTCTGCTTCCACCCACTATTACCATTAGGTTGATAATCATAAAATTTTGCTTGCACGTCACTTTCACATTCTATTTTATTATATATGTCCATGAACATAATTCCAATCACCTCCGTTGTAAAGTGGAGGCAGAAACATACAAGATATCCTAAAACCTGGAAGAAGAAAACAAAAACCCAAACCGTTTGCATGACTCAGTACCACCAAGGGTAGTGGTAAAAAGTAGGTGAACGGAGCTTTTAGCCAGCTCACAGGGTTCATGGTGTTGTGTTAGTAACCGTGTCCTCCAGCAAGAGACTAAACCCCTGTTATCTCTTCAACTGAGTCACTCGCTAATGGCTGGAGGTGCCACAAATATCACCTTAATTTGGCAGTTCAGAGGAAAACACAAACAAATAGAGTTTATATCCACTGGGTATCCTTTTAAACAGCCATTTTCCAGACCATTACGAATGTGAATGTTGCGTAAGAGCGCAGCTAATATGGCATCAGGACAGAAAAAGACCCCGCTCGGTCTCATGCACTTAACACACAAAATGTGTAGTGCTTCCCATAAGCCCACGAGGGGAATCCCTGCAGTAACAGGCAGTGTGTGAGTCATCTTCGATAGGAGCCACCGGGGCTGATCTTCTGTCAGACAAAGAGCAACAGAGCAGGATCCCCCCCTTTTTTTTTTTCTCCTCTCTGCTGCTGTGTCCCACTGTGGCCAAGACTAATGCATCTTAATGGGAAATCTAAATGTTGCCAGAGGACGTTCAAATGACCCGCAGTGGGGAAACCTCTCAGCGGAAAACAAGCTTTCTTCTGCTTCCCACTGAGCAGGAAACGCTGCTGCATGTACAGCAACACACAGAACATTTTGACAGATGTTATCAACTCTCATTAACACTTTATTCACTTTTTTGTGCATGTGTTGTCCAAGTTTTTGCCCAAATTTTCCAAAAAAATAAACACACGTAGGCCACAATTCTGCATTTTTTAATGACCAACTGTGTCTCCTCTGCAGATTCAGAGCTAGCGTTGATGTACAATGACTCGTCAGTGTTGGAGAATCACCATCTAGCGGTTGGTTTCAAGCTCCTACAAGAGGAGAACTGTGACATCTTCCAAAACTTGACCAAAAAACAAAGACAATCACTGCGAAAGATGGTCATCGACATCGTAAGTGGAATGCTTAATGTTTGATAAAGCTCTGGTGGAACGCCCCGCATTACACCTACCTGACCGTTTTCTGTCGTTCTTGGTGTTCCAAGGTGCTAGCAACAGACATGTCCAAGCACATGAATCTACTGGCTGATCTGAAAACAATGGTGGAGACCAAGAAGGTGACCAGTTCTGGAGTCTTGCTGCTGGATAACTACTCTGACAGGATACAGGTACGAGTGTAAGATCCAGATCTCTGTCAGTCTGCACTCTGCTGTGGAACATACTTAAACCTTGATACATGTTGTGTTTAGGTTCTCCAGAACATGGTGCACTGTGCAGACCTGAGCAACCCCACCAAGCCTCTGCAGCTGTACCGGCAGTGGACGGATCGCATCATGGAGGAGTTCTTCAGCCAGGGTGACAGAGAAAGGGAGAGGGGCATGGAGATCAGCCCCATGTGTGACAAACACAACGCCTCAGTAGAAAAGAGCCAGGTAACGCACACACAGACCGAAACGAGCTGCACATGCATATCATACAAAGACGCACACTGAACCTCCTGGTTTTTTCCCCTTGTGTATCGCGCAGGTTGGATTCATAGACTATATCGTTCACCCCTTGTGGGAGACGTGGGCTGACCTGGTCCATCCGGACGCCCAGGACATCCTGGACACGCTGGAAGACAACAGAGAGTGGTACCAAAGCACCATCCCCCAAAGTCCCTCCCCTGCGTTGGACGAGCCCGAGGACGGCACTCGGCCCCCGGGAGGGGACAAGTTCCAGTTTGAGCTGACCCTGGAGGAGGACGGGGAGTCGGACACGGAGAAAGACAGCGGCAGCCAGCCAGAGGAGGAGGAAGAGGAGGAGGAGGAGGAAGAGGAGGAAAACAGCTGTACTGACTCTAAAACGCTCTGCACGCAGGACTCTGAATCCACGGAGATTCCTTTGGACGAACAGGTGGGGGAGGACGAAGACGAGGAGGAGGAGGAGGAGGTTGTTGTGGAGGGGGGGGCGCCGTGCTGGTCGCCGTGTTTTGTTGTGGAGGAAGTAGTAGCGGAGGAGGAGGAGGAGGAGGAAGAGGAGGAGAAAGAGAAATCCCCCGACACATAGCAGTTCACGGACAGCATCTGATTAACTGTTCTTCTTAGTAATGACAGATGATTATTTATAGAATATTTTTTGGGTTTTGTGAAATCTGTCTGTGTTTTTATACATCTATGTTTATGGTTCCAAAGCGTGTGCTGCTCTCCACCTTGGCCACTCCTCCCGTCAGCTTCGTTCAGACACGCCCTCACCGGTACTACTTCAAGTTTTTTTGCACTCAGGAAAACTCCTTTCCATTCCCATTTGTACTGAAGTGGTGTGTCTTTATTTCACTTTTACACCTCCCCCTCCCCTCCCCCTTCTTTTACAAGCTTAAGTTTAGGATGTGGACGAGCAGTTCACGGTCTGCTCAGTGCTGTTCATAGGGTTAGATCACACTTCTTTCTGCTTCGTCTCAGCCTTGCCTGACAGTCTGGCGGTGTTTTCTGTGTTTTATTAAGTGCCCATACTCTACAGAGACGGTGTGTTCAAGGAGAATCTCCCTCTCGGTTAGGTCGTAACCTCCCCCGCTACGAATTAGGAGGCGTTCCGCCGAAGGTTTCCGCCGAAAAACCCGACGGGACGCCGCAGAGACGAAAGCTGCAGCACACTGGGGGAGCTTCTGGAGACACATTTCTGGCGTGGAAGTCTTCCTTGAAAAACCTGACTGACACAAAGCTCAAATCTAAACAGCCATGACGCTGTCCTAGACCTCTTTAATTTTTGTATCGTACTGTATGTAAGATTCAGATATTTTCTAGAATTTACTTTTGCAAACCTAGGCTTTGTTTTGTTAGAAAAGACGAGAGAACTTTTGGAAACGGGGGGAGAAATGTGTCACATGTATACAGTGTTCTGAAGGGGGGTATCTTTACAGCTGGACTAGGAGTGTTTTGAGCTGTTTGCACTTGCTCCAATAGCATTTACAAGTTATACTACTTATTCCCATGCCACTATACTCATATTTGGTTGGTCCTGTGAGTTGAAATTTGGAATTTATTCCTCTTGTTTTTTTTTTTTTTTTTTTTGGTTTTTTCCGTTGGGGGGGAGGCGGGACCCGGCGGCTTCCTTTTCCTTGGAACCCGTCACGACGTGGATGAAGCCTTTAAATTTTTATTATTGTTGCCTGCAGTTCTTTTGAACACATCCTGAGACAATGCAATGCTTTGTAGTTGATACAACAAGCACCTTTTTTTAGAAGCTTGATTAGTAGTGCTCCAAGTATACAGAAATAGTAATGGTGTTACAAATTACAAGGGTGATTTTCTACCAATGTTATGAAAGCGTTTTGTTTTCTATTTTTCTTGCCCATTTTATTTGATGTACACATCACTCAACAACAGCTACGCGCATGCTTGTCTTCAGCCATCTCATTTTCTGTTATAGGAGTTTATTTTTCCATCGTTTGATTTGCCATCGCACAGCAAAATCCAGTCTTTGTTTCTGACAAGACAATCAGCTCCGTAGTCATCAGATAAGACTATCCTCTAGGTAGACACTCTAATGCACTGATATATTCATATATCATCACTTTAATATGTTTTAAACTCGCCAAAACACTCACTCCTGCACACACAGGCTTGAACATTGTTGTGCTACACCTCGGCCAAGAGTTTCTTCCTTTTTTTTTTTCCACATTTCTATCACTTCTCACCTGATGCTATTATTTATTGGTATATTTTTTTTCTATTTGTTGAGTTTTTTTTTGCGGTATAAAGGTGGTACAGTTAATATTTCACTGTAGCATAGACCACAGTACAGGCTTGCCAGTTACCCCGAATATATTTTCTCCCCCTCCTGTGTACATAAAATATAAAAGAACACCTGTAAGAAAAAAAAAGAAAAAAAAAAATCCCGACTTGAAATACTGCACACTGCTTTTCTAAAGAGTGCTTGTTTGAATTATTTGTCATTTTCAAAAAAAACTTTTAATTTCATTTTGTGCCAATATTTTATTTTAATTTTTTTTTTTTTTTTCATCCTCACCCAATGCCCTTACCTGTAATAAAAAAAAAAATTCTGGTTTTATCGCTGTTTACAAACATATATTTATTGTGCTGTATATAATATATAATTAATAATGTTATTACTATCATAATGCAGTTTGCTGTAAATGGTTGATTCTTATCATCCCTTTTGGTGATGGCGTGGCTGTATTATGTACCTCTTGTTGAGAGAATGTTTATTACACTTGAGCTTCGGTGTAAAAATGATCCATCGACATGTCGCTTATATCTGAGAACTAGCTCAGTGAAGAGAGGGGAGGGGGGGGGAAAGCCAAATTGTTTTTTAAAAAAGAAACTGTTCCTTGGCCCATGGGCTGTGCCTTAAATCCAACACATCATTTACTTTAGCCTTTTATTTTTTTTTAATTCTCTAGTTCTCTTTTGCTGCATTGGTGAATCTTTTGGCTTGGGTTGGCCTGATCTCTTGTTGAGAATCCAAAAAAAATAACAAAAAAAAAAAGTTGCCTTTTAAACTTTCACAGCCAAACACAATTTGCTGTATCACAAATATGGCACAGGGTAAGAAAACGTGTTTTGAGGTTTGTAGAGATTCAGGTCAACCACAAGTTTTTTAGATTTATTACACGAGTGATGTGTGGCCTATAGCCGGATGTCCAAGAGTCGCATTTGCTGTAGGCCTGGTCTGAACAACTCGCACTTTCTTTTACGCTCTGCCACTACACTCAAAAGATGCGACGCAGCCCCTGTCGGACGCAAACGATCCGGGAGTAACTTTCCCCACCCCGAGTCCGCGTGGAGTTACTTGCTGCGTCGTCTGCGTCCGTCCGGTTGCGCCGCAGCTACAAACACTGAATGGGGCGCAACAGGAGTGCGCAGTTGGTGCTGGACTACGGCCCTACGAAGCACAGAGGCTTTGAGACACATCTGCATGTTCAGCCACTGCTGCATTAATTATGGCTGGAACACTGACAGTGTGTTGCTTATCTATGCTCGGCCCACACTTCCACTCACATTACTTGCAATATTCAAAACCACTGACATCTTTCTGCCTGGACAGGAGAAGGGTTTCGTATGTTTCTGTAGTGAAGGGAGGGTCGGGGAGGGGTGGGGATGCGGGGTTACGGGACGACTGCATCATTGTCCTGAAACAGGGACTCTTATTTTGACACACATACTGTAGATTCTAAACAGCCCTGGACCAATGGAAATAGTGGGTTCTTTTCTCATTATGTGTTCTATTTTTTTATGGTATGAACGGAAAAACACAAACTGTAATTTAAAAAAAGGAGAAAAAGAAAAAAAAAAAAAAAAGGTCTCGAGGACAATTATTTTTTGGGTTATGTCTTTAGAATGCCAACTTGTCTGGACGTTTCACAGGACAATTAAAATGTTATTTTAATGGATTCCTTGTTAATTGCAGTCTATTGGATAGCACTGTAGATCATACAACTTTATGTAAAAAACGGATAAAAAGAATGAAAAAAGTTTTTATATGCAATGGATTAAATAAAAGCATGGGTTGATTCTGCCTACTCGCTGCTCTCATGTGTTCATTCTGGGGGTCGTTATGCAATCAAGTGTGGAACTGATGCACCGCGTCTTTGTTTTACTGACAAAAGTGATGACGTTGTGAGAGGAGAGAATAACCCTGAATGCAGCTTCTATATTTGGGATTTTAGTTATTCCCCACTGACTGCTGTGTAAGTCCAAGTCATGTCTCAGAACTAAATTAGTTGATGTAGTTTTACTTTGTTTTGTCTGAATCTTGTTCCTCCAACAAAGACATAGTTTTTGTATTTTATTTGTATATTTTAGTATCTTCTAGCAATTATGTTTGCAAGGATTGCTTAGAAAGACTTTGGTTAATTGACATTTGAGTGATGTGACTCGGGCTGCAAGGTGGTTCGGTGGTTAGCATCGTTGCCTCGCAGCAAAAAGGTCGCCGGTTCGGTGAGGACACCCGGGATCTTTCTGCGTGGACTTTGCATGTTCCCCCCATGTAGCGTGGGTTCTCTCCAAGTTCTCCAGTTTCCTCCCACACAGTCCAAAAACATTCATCCATTATCTATATACCGCTTAATCCTCACTGGGGTCATGGGGGGCTGGAGTCTATCCCAGCTGTTTTTTTGTCAAAAAAGGTCACGTTTCAGAATGTCCTGAAAACCTGTCAAGATGTAGTATATAGTGGGAAAAATGTCCTGAATGTGTTTAAAGACAGCTTAGGAAGGTACTTCCTGAAAAAAAGCACATTATGTATTTGGGCCTCAATAAAAAAAAATAATCTCAACATTTTAAGTAGAATGTACTTTCTTTGTATGCTAC